GTTCTTCTCAGACGAGCCACTCAGTCACCCAGGCAGAAGCTGCTGGATGCTCTCCAGTTTGGCAGTGATTGAGTAGTGTATGCGGGTGTTTGTCAGCCATGCCTGGAAAGCCTCACAGGAGCTTATTCCAGACTCCAAACATGATAATAAAATGCCTGCTGGTGTATGGAAGGTATCTGGTGGCCTTTCATGTATAAACATCAGTTCTAAATGGAAACTAACCTTGAGGAGGCAATACAAAGCCTTTCTCTTGTGCCAGGTACAATGAAAATTTTAAATGGACAAGGTATGAATCAGACCTCAAGTAAAAGGGAAAGTAACAAGAAGCATTTTTTCCCAAGTTTACTGTGTTTATCTTCCCAGCCAATAGTGATTTTTTTCTCAAGAGTTGCATGTTTGCGCTTGTTCTTAGAGAGCTGGCCAAGGTCCAATACCCATTAAGTCCATTGAGTCTTCATTTATTCCCAAGTCCAGATCCTCTCAATAACTGTTTAAATATGACTAATTCAAATTTATTGCAATAAAATTGTTTCGGCTGTATAACTGTATGTATGGGAAACAGCTAATTATTTGCAATGAAGAATGTGTTACATTTTGCAACTGTTTTCTTGTTGATGTTGGGTTTGTTTTGTTTGCTTTTTTTTTTTTTTTTTTTTTTTTTTTTTATAGTAATGAAATATTCTGGAGATTCACAATTATTCAGTGCATTATTGGGCATTGAGTACTTGCTCCATTGCAGGCAACGTACAGCAGTCTTGTTACAAAAGCTTATTTTGAGACTTGTACTGAATCTGGTCTCTGAACAGATCAGAGCTCAAACATTGCTGGTTTCTCAATTCTTAGGACCTACACCACACCCATGTAGGCTTTATGTGTTTTAGTCTGACACCCACATACACCTGAGTCGCAAGATGCAGGCACAGTCTCTCATGCAACTTGAAAAAAAGAATTAAATATTGGAAAAGATAGGCTTGTTAGAATCTGACTAATACGGATTTACACACAATGTATGGATTTATAGTTTTACCTCAGTTTCTTGTTTTATTAACATGGAATGAAATCTAATAAAACAAGAGCCTGTCACCCTGATTCCATCTATAATGTATGGAATACTACAAGCAAGCTGCTGTATCAAGAGCTAGGAAGAAACATCCATTCTCGGTATCCACTGCTGCCGATGGCATCTATCTTTTGTACTTTCATGCTTAGCAGATGATGGAATACTTTCTGCACAAATGCTAGACTTCTATACGTTATTTCACATCATCAATTTGTTATTTCACACTGTCAGTTCTTAAACAACAGGTAACATTTCATCTTGAAGCCAGCTCTTGATCAGCTTGAGAAATACAATGATGTAGGATCCCAATTCTTTAACACTGAGCCTGCTGATGTAGGGACAGGGCACAGGAGCTCTGCTTTCCCCAGAAAAATCTTTTACAATAGAGCAAGGGGATCGTATGAAATCTAAACAGCAGTTACATCAGAACAAATACACTGAGTAAACATAGCACTGTGTTAGTGTGAAATAGGCCTGAGTCACCTTTTGTGCTTTCTAGTGAGTTCGTGAAGAATCCCACGTGGGAGTGCAAGTGAAGAATTTGGGCCACAGTGTTGAGAGAACAGCTCTGAAAATGATTTCAGAATAAACAGAAACATATGGAGTTCAAAGAAAACATTCACACAAGCCAGACTGAACAAAAATCCACACTTTACCGGGGACATTTCTGCTAAGAAAGAGCTGCTGCATGGAAAACATCGTAATGGGTGTAGTGAACTGGAGCTTTATTAATGAATATTAACGAACATCATCGTTTATGGTAATTCTTTTTTATATACTAGGAACAGTGCTGTGCTCACACACAGAGCGGGAAGCTGCTTGGGTTTCCCTCAGTATAAAGCTCCATCACAAATGGCTGTGCTGTACCCAATCCTTTTCTTTTTGCCTTTCCTTTCCAACACCTTTGAGCTCAGCAGCCAGATAGCCCTGCATATTTCAGGGATCCAATTATCTCCCTTTTGCCACTCACCTCAGAGGTGGAGCAGGTGAGACAGGTCTGAAGCACTTGGGCTCTGAATGGACTGTGGGTACAGGGACCCCCAAAGGAAGAGCTTGGTTCCTTGTCTTCCTGCTTTGTACAGGTACCTCCTGTCCTACATGTGCTAAAAGTTTACGAGCTGCTTCAGGCTCTTCAGGAACGATGAGAATGATTAAGTGGTTTTCTCACAATCTCTTTATGTTTCTCATTCCTACTCTGGAGTTAAGGGAAGAAAGTTCATATCTTCCGTTTTTGTCAGGGTATACATGTGGATAACATAAGCATATAAGTTTGCTCACATTAGGTTTGACCAAAGGTCTTTCTAGTGGAGCAAAAATGACAGTAAATATATTTCACATATACGTGTATATATTTGCAATTGTTATTATTTTTCCAACTCTAGTTAACATTTGCCACCAATACCATACATGGCCACTACCTTTCTCCTTGACTAGTAAAAGCACTTACAAATTCACTTCCCTTAATTTTCAGATTGGCAAGTACTAATTTGTAAAAGATGTGAACAATGTTACATTTTCTGCGGGAACAGGCACAGCACTAAGCCTCCCTGACACTTGCTATGTTCTGTGCAGCTTCAGCTGAGGAGCACAGGGGTTACTCACAACCACTTCCTCCATCCGCATTACATTGTACAGGTCTCAAAAGCAGCTTCTGGAAAGCTTGGAAAATTCAAATGGCGTTCTTATGAAGAGTGGCTGAGGGACCAGGGATTGCGCAGCCTGGAGAAGAGGAGGCTCAGGGGAGACTTTATCACTGTCTACATCTCCCTGAAAGGAGGTCTCCAAGTGGAGGCCGATGACGAGTGCTGTTCCAGAGGGATTGCTGCTGGGACTGGTGTTATTTAACATTTCTGTAGGTAACACGGACAGTGGGATCGAGTGCACCCTCAGCAAGTTTGCAGATGACACCAAGCTGAGAGGTGCAGTTGACACGCTAGAGGGCAGGGATGTCCAGAGAGACCAGGACAGGCTTGAGAGGTGGGCCCATGCCAACCTCATGAAGTTCAATAAGGCTGAGTGCAAGGTCCTGCACGAGGGGAGGCACAAGAAGCTGTGGAGATGCACTACCAGGATTTAGCCAACATCTTGCCTACCCAGAGGAAGCACCCCGCTAGCACAACTGTATCAGTTCTTTTCTACTGAGAACTTAACTGTGCATCTTTACAGCCTGCTACTTCCACTCCGTTGTGTACAAATGCACTGTGCCCAAGGCTATCTGCAGCAGCACTGCACCAAAAGAAAAGACGTGGCTTGATTTCAAAAGGTCACAAATTTTATCTTGAATCCACAGCAAAATGGTGCTTTGAGTGCTGTGTAGCAAAAAAGACTTTCTGCTTTAAGACCTCCTGCAATTAAAACCTTTTGTAAAATATGGTTTCTTCTAGCACATTAACTTCATGAGCAATAATAAATTAAAGCTATGTAGCTCAATTTTTAGTTAGTGCTACCTTGCTAATTACAAGGAGCTTTTTCACAGCTATCAAGTTCAGAGTATGGAGACTTCAGAAAAGTTCTAAATATCTTTGCAGTATATTTAATTTCAAATAAGATTGTGTTCAATTTTATACTTCAACAAATAGGAGTACATTCATAAATTTAGCTCAGATACAAGATTTCTGGATTTTCTTATTCAAAATAGCACTTTTCCCTCTAAGAATTTTCCAACTAATTAAAGAGCAGATGTGCAGATATATGCATGAACATCTTAAGTTACAAATAAGTAACAAAGCACACCAAACAGCGCAACGCATCTTGTATTTTTATTGTTATAGACAAAGAGGAGTACATCTCATCACTGCCATCACAGCTGTACATTTGCAGTATCACTCTGATCCCTTTGAGAGCCAGAGAACGTCCACTCATCAGTCTCTCCACATTTTTATCATAACAAGCTCCATATCAAAGCTCAGTTGTGTGCAATCACTTTTCTAAATGAAAACACAGCCAAAAAAGAAAAACAACCCAGAAACAAACAACAACAACAAAAAAACAAAACCAGCATTTGCTAACGGGACTTTGTGACATTCTTTAAGGTACCAGCAGAATAAGCATGCGCAACAGCAATACAAAACCACAGAGTGCTGCTGTCCCCAGAAAGTGAGCTGTGCCGAAAACCCTTACAGGTTCAGTGCTGAAATTCTACCTCCTGCCAAAAGTCAGTTCAAGATGTGTGCATTGCTTATGTTCAAACTGAGGTGGGAGTAAAGCAACCTAAAGCTGGAATTTGAAAGCAGTTGTGTTATGCCTACTGTTCTAGTTGTAAAATAAACCACTCTACTATGAGACCCTCTATTGCTTCCCCTCAGCCAATTTCCAGTGCTTTAGTGGAGTGCAATGCTTCTAGAAGCAATGTGTTGCTGTGTCATGATGCTTCTCTTCTATACAAACTGGCTCCTGAGGATTTTATAAAGGGTTTTTCTGGAATACTACAAAGGACAACAAAATTCCTACTTAAAATGAAGGTGGAAGGATGCTTTTCCTTACTGAGAACCAGCAGCCTTTCAAGTTACTTTGCCAGAGTGTATTCTAATACTGCATATTACTGGCTGTGACTGCACACAAAATATTCTGGCAGTGGGTCATAGTTCCCTGTGCCTGCAGTGGTGGAATAAAATAGGAGAGAAGAGGCTTGGAAACACAGAGTTTACTATCTACCATCACAGCTCACTGAGCAGCCCAACAGCAGAATATCAGCTGCTTGTAGAGAAATGGGCGTTTTGATAAGGGCTGACAAAATAACTTTGAGAACCACTGTTGTTGATACTGCTCCCACACCCTTGCTTGCATAAAATTTCAAATTTGTACATAGATGCTCTAGCTGATCTCCACATTTCCATTCATCACGCTTTGGGGAAGATATTTGAAGTTCTATGAAAATCTGTTACTCTGTGCAATAACTTTCCATTGGGGGAATCTTCCATTTTCCCCCTCCCGCCCACCCCCAAAAAAGGAAGAAAAATAAAAAGGAAAACAAGGGGAAAGGACGTGCCACTGTTTTTCAAAGTGTAACAAGGTGCAATCTTGTCTACTAGTGCTACACTGCCTGAACCATTGCGTCCTCCCATTTCCCACTGACTGCAGAGGGAATATTAATAGCATCAGTGCTGTAACCCATCACTGCGGAGCGAAATTCCTCCCCGCGTGAGTCCATGCAAGAGCTGTGGACCATTTTGCTGGAACCCAAATATTTAAAACACAGAGTTTGCAGGAGGCTCCTGGCTGCGCGGGTGTTGTGCCGGCGTTCTGCCAAACCTGCTGGAGCGGCCAGTGAGCGTGGCTCAGCCCAGGCTGTGATTTGCTTAATGAAAGACACTTCTCCAGAAGATTTTGGCAGACGCAATCAGTTCTACTGCCAGGCAGCATTCATGTGATTATAAACGTTAGCGATCGCATTAGATACTTAATAAATCCCTCCAAAAAGATCACAGCTACTGTGTGGCTCTGAAGAAACAAACGTTGGGTACAGATTACTGTTTGCTGTGCACTGGATTATTGATACAATTGGGAACAAATACTTTCTGTGTGCTGCCAGGCAGGCAGTGACAACTACTAATTTCTACACAAAATCACGACTGCTTGTTTGCAAATTTACAGTGAAGCATCACTGCAAAGCAGCTTCATTTTCTTTTTAGGGACACACTTGTAACATAAATATTTAAAAGAATTTGACTCCACTTACACTTTGACAGATCTGTGGCAATTTACATAAGCTGAGGGGTTGGCCTGAGAGCCTAAGGACAATTTTTGGCTTGAGATAGCAGGAAAGAGAGATGCTGTCCCTACACAAATCCCAGGAATGAGACACTAACACTGCTTCTTCTTTTGACATTTCAGCAGACGCAATATCACATACAGTACTGATAAAGCACATCAAAGGAAAAAGTACCTAGCTGGGCTGTACCTGTTTGGATAAAAATTGTTTTCTTGTTGTGCAGCGCTCCGTATCTTCCTGTAATTTATTCAACAGTGTTTTAAAAATGAATACATAATACATGTCCATTGGCCTAATCCCAGCACTCATTTCAGTGCATTGCAGGAAAGCAGTCACACAGGCCTCTCTTCTCTGCTTTCAGGAGGAGTGTTTCTGTCTGCAGGAAAAAAAAAAAAAAAGAAAGAGAGAAAGAAACTGAAAAAAAGCACTTTAAAAAGGTATGAGTATAAAATTGATTGACCTAATTCCTCTACACAGCTGTAGTCAAGGTGCTTTGCTGAGTGAAAAATCATGGCTATTAGAGTTGGTTTCCATCCAGAAAAAGCAACACAAAATAAGCATATTCAGAATCAAGAGGCATGGAGAGTATTTTTGTCATCCAAATGTTTTCATTTCCATAGTTAACTTGCAGAGACAGAGCTGTCAATATTATTAAAATGTCCTTTCTAAATACTGAGCAAAATTCCACTTTCAGCTGCACTGCTCTTAGTTCCTTCCCAGTGATTGATGGCTTCCTGTTGATGAAGCCTTCAGAGCAGTGTAATCTAATTGTGCCAGATAGCACGTGCTGAGGGGCAGGTTATGCTCTCTGTTACACTGCTGTTTCTCCACTGGGTTCAATCCAGCTGTCAGTCTAACCACGTTGTCTGAAACTCACCACTTTTTAGGGCAGATTTGGACTTGAGCTTGTGGCTCGTATTTCAATCTGAGGTGGTTCACTGGCAGTTGCCTTATTACCAGCTCCATTTGAAGCCGTGCCTCTAGAACCCCATCAAAAGCTTACAAACCATTCTCTGTACAAAGCACTTGAAGTTATTTATTCTTGGCTTTGGAGTGTCTTGGTAGAAAATCATTTCCAAGCTTTTGTTTCTCTGTACTCCAGGAAAAATAATAATTTCAGATTCTCAAAGATATTTAAGTGTCACGTATTATTACAGCTTAGATCTTTTGTTGGCCTTGGTCTCACTTTTTTGAGAAACAAAGACTGTACTTCCCAAACACTACTGTAATTTCAGAAGCGGAATCTCCTGACAGACTCAACACAATAGCAACAATGCGCTGCCCAGGAAGGTAATGGAGTCTCTCCTCCTGACTATGCTCAAGAAATATGTAGATGTGGTACTTAGAACATAGCTCACAGGGCAGTATTGGTGGTAAGTGGATGGTTGGACTAGAAAATCTTAGAGGTCTTTCCCAACCTTAATGATTTTATGATTCTGTGATTCTAAGTGTAATCATGACTTAAGATAAATGTTTTCCTGAGCATAAATTTGTAGTTTTCAACCTGCTGTCTATGGTCCCTTAAGTAGTTTGTAGACTAACTCTGAAAAGTTTCTTGGGGAAAAGAAAAATCCTTAAGCCTTTCCAGGCTTAAATTCAACATAAATGGATTTCCCATTTGTACCAGGGGAAAAAAGCAACCAAACAAATAAAAACACTAAACCTCAGAGATTTCTTGTTAATGAAAGATCAGAAAGTTATGTGAAACACAAATTCTTTGGCTGGTGTTCCCCTTACATGATGCTTCCTGACAAATTAAAACCAGCTAAGGCCAAATTAATAAAGATACCCAGTAGTTCCCATAGAAGTAGCTGGGCGCTTCTACCCAAGGATCTGCTCTGCCAAGCCCAGACTCCCTGCCCACCAGCCCAGTGCCTCTGCCCCCAGCCATTTCCACTCTGCTGCTCACTTCTTGCTCTCACAGTGCAAGCGTTGCAGGCAGGGCATGTTTGAGAGATGCGTTTTCCTTCCCTCATTTTATTCTTTTCAACCTAAACTTTTGACATCTACCTTTGCATTAAAGAGGACTTGCTGACATTCCTTGTCTGCTTTCACTTATCAGCTTAGTGCAATGGCAAGCATTATTATTGTACACTCAAGAAGAACTGCTTCTTGGTTATACAATGCAATCCCGGATGAGTGAATGCTCCCATTGTTGGGAGCCCAGTAGAAATCACAGAATCATCTTAAGGTCACACTGGCTTATTGGTTTTCATTGTAATGCCAACAAGCTGTCAGTGTTACCACAAACTCTGCCGAGACAGCACTCATGACTGTCTACAGGAAGGAAGAGCAACTCTGGGACCACTCCAATACAAAGTATTTGAGAGAGAAGCGACTCTCACCAAAATTAACTGTGGCCATGTTGGCAGTGGCCAGGAAGTCCCTGACTGATCAGTGCTCCATGGGGTTTGCCCTTAGAGCAAGAATTTTAAAGACTCAAAGAGTTGTTCAGTGAAGTTATTTGTGTGTAAAACATGAGAAAATAGAGTTGGGTCAGTATCAGCCAAGCACTAGCAGTGAAGTGCAGGTACGAAGGCTGTACCTTTCTGAGAACGGAGGATCATCTGTAGGTGTTTGGCCACGGCCTTTCACTTTTGTTACTGCATCATTTAATGATTTGTATTTAAATGAAGCGCCTCTTCCAGAAAGGTGTTTGGAGTCTCAGTACTCCTTCCTACAGTCATGCATAGGCACAAAACGTTTCAGATGCATCTAATTCAAACAGGTGCCCAGCTGTGCACCAGAGCAGTCCCAGCCCAGCTGCAGGGGTGGAGCTCCGCTATCTGCATTCTGCTGCCTACCGGTTGTTGAGTTCTAGGCTAGTGCATGGGAAACTTCTGCAATGTAACCTATGCTGCACACAGATCTCTGGCCTAATCAGTTCGCCACTGATAGCTCATGAAAGCTGAAGTGACTCTACCTTCTTCGTCTAGGGTCCTACATGATTGCCCAAGGTCACAAGAAACCAAAGGCAAAGCAACATAATTGCCCTGAAGGGTTACAGCTTGAGACGCAATTGATTTAACTTGCCACATACGAATGGGCTTTATCATAGAATCATATAATTATTTGAGTTAAACCTCATCTACTGCAACACTCCTACTATGAACAGGGACTCCTACAGCTCCACCAGGATGCTCCGTGCACCCTCCTGCTCCTTTCAAACTTCAGACAGCATGGAATTATTTGTGAGTTTTATTAAGCCCTACCCCAGCCAATATCCATGTATATTTACCAACCCACATATCTAGGCAATGCCAAAATCAGGGCATTTTATTACACCCTTGTGCTTTGTTCTCTGGGACCTCTGCAGCACAAGACAGGCAGGTGAGTCTGCAAAATGCCCTGTCTGCTGTGAAAACTGCCCAAGCAAATATGTTCTTCTTGGAAAGTATCAAAATACGAACAAGGAATATACAGGCCTGCCTTTCCTCTCTGCCAGCCCTGCTTGCCACCTTCTTGCTATTCCATTCATCTGCTGCTCCTGCCCATAGAGTGTTGAATCCACTGTTAAAAAGCAGTGTTATGAGACAGAGAATAAACCTTCTTTCTCATCCTTTTCTCCTGCACATATCTTCTTTATTTTATGCATGAATTGTCTGGGGTAATTCTTTAGCCTGTTATGCAAGGAGTCAGGCTACTGAAGCTCTCCAACCGGGTGGAAAATAATCTGCACTTGGTACGATCCTATTTGCTGGAAGGAAAGTGAGTCAGCAGAGATGTCTGCTGCGTGCAGACAGGCAGACCTTGCCGCTTGGAGACAAAGGCTAAAGAAAAGTTTTTCTACAGAAGCGCATACCCGTGTGTCTAGATTATACGCCATCTTCTTTAAATCCTGCAACGCCCTCTGCATGAACTCAAACGCATGGCAGTCAACGCAGGGACGGCCTGGAAAAAGGAACAGAAAAAAAGACATCACTGTCAGAGCATGAAATCCGGAATGTAGCAGTAATGAGGGAACATTCAGAGACCTTGTAATGCCAGGAGAAAACCCATTTTACCAGGACCCACACCTGCATCTGTGCAAAGTTAGGGCTGCCTATGCCAGGGCTCTACCCATCTCTGTGCAAGTGCTCACTTCTTGAGTGGGGACCAGCAAAGCATGAGAGTGCTTTGCTGCGTGGCCTTTTCTGAATACAGCCCAAGCTTCGTTCTGCCTGATGCTGAATGCCTTCAGCCCCCATCCTCTCTCTTTGAAATGGAAATCCCCTGTTCCTCCCCACAGGTGGGTTAATTCTCCACTGATTGGCTGAAAATAGCAGTTGCAGTGGATCAAGAATCAGACAGCCAGCTCTGTTTTTACAAGAGCAAGATCTTACAAGAACAGCTTGGCAAGGGTCAGCACCAGATCTGTATGTGCTTCCTTCACCTGCTGCTCTGTTTTTTCTCTGCCAGTAATGCAAAGCATCCTACTGGCTCTGCAGCTGGTGCCAATGTGCATGCATGCACAGAGGGGTGAGTCAGGGGGAAGGCAGAGAAAGGAAGAGGAAGGGATGTGCCAACAGCCTCCTGGCTCACTGCTGGGCCTGGGCATTTCTGCTCTGCCAGGATTCATCCTGCACTGATCCTGTGCCCTTTAGTTACAGAGTAAATGGAGTACATGCTTTCAAAGGAAGAAATTGCAGATACTGAAGGAGATGTGTGGGGAATGGAGAGAGATGAAATTTTACATTGATCACAGAGCTCTGACTGTGGGGGGGGGAAATGCTAAAATCTTTGTCCCCAGGCAGCCACTTGTGCTGCTCCGACAAAGCAAAGTGAGTGCAAAGCTGTCGCTGAGATGGCTACAGAGCACCCTGCAGCCTGTTATCAGTATTTCAACAGTCAAACTGTTCTCACTTCTGAGATGGAGGAAGAACCTGAACACTCAGTATGTTGTTGGCAAACCTGCCATTCACTTGTGGCCATGGCCAACTCCTTCCCATTGCAGTGCTGTTCTCAGAAAGCAGCCTGCCCTGGCCTACTTGCCTGCCCTGAAGTGACTGTCACCATATTGCATGTGGAAACAGGAGCTGCACTCAGTGATCCTTGTGGGTCTCTTCCAGCTTGGGATATGAGCAATATGACACTGCGACATCACAGGATGTCAACATCCAGCTATTCAAACTGACCTGTCACTTTGACTTATGGGGGCACAAAGAGGGCTCACTGAAGCAGCATCACTGCAGACGAGAAGACAGCTGTAACTGGGAGGAGAACAGCCAGGAAGGTAGCTGGCTGTGAATCTTCCACTCATGCAGCCCTGCAGAGCACACATCTGAGTAGAGCTTTGGAAGTCAAGGCATTGTTGAACTCATCATTGAACTTCTAGCACTTAGCACGGAACAACCTGAATGCTGTTCCCCAAATTAAACAGGGGCAGCAAATCCCCACTGTCTGACAATTTTACAGCTACAGTCTGATTTTTATCAGCAGAAACACCCAAACCCAGACTCTGGCTGAGCTTTTAAACTATCATAATAGCTAGGTTCTTGCAGAAGACAATATCAGATATTTTGGTAATATATAAGATTGCTCATCACGGGGTCTACTCCTGGAGTCTGAAAGGGCTAAAAGTAGCCTGTGGTACTCCCAGAGATGGGAATTAATTAAAATAATTACAATAATCAATAAATAACCCCCCAAGTTCACAGTGGTGGCCATGCATGGTCCAGCGTTACTTCAAGCAGGGAACTGATGTAAAAACTCTCAATGAGAGTAATAGTGGGGTGGGCTTGGATGGAACAGGATGGGATAGGTTGGGGTATAACCTACTGTAGGGAAACTGCTTTAGCAGGATTGTTGGACTAGATGATCTCCACAGGTTCCTTCCAACCCCTACAACTCTGCTTCTGTGATCAAACCTCTGGATTAAACCTCCAGCAGTGTTATTTCAGGCTGCCAAGAGATGTGAAAAGGGACATCCCAAGACCTGGACCTGAGAAGTCATCCATGGATTTTTCTCACATTAATTTGACACGCTGCTTCTTGAATCCATGGGAACTTTCAGCATCTGCAGCATGCTTTGGCAATGAGTTCCACAGCACAGCAGCTCGCTCTGTGAGCAAACTGTCAATCTTGCAGGCTCTGAAGTTAACTTCTACTTGTGTCACTTTATGCCTCCAATTTTTGCAGTGGAAGAGACATTTATTACATAATCACTATCTTTGCCCCACTTCTGACTTTGCTGATCTCCATCACTGCCTGCCTCAGTGTCACCCTTCCAGACTGAACGGCTGACCTGCAAGCTGCTCTACCTAGCTGGGCTCATCCTCTCCTTATGCTCACTACATTTTCAACTAAGATTCTTGTGAGCATTTCCTCAAACTAACTCTGTCTGGTTGCACAAGGGGGTTAAGCAAATCTAAGTACATTCTGCTGTCTGTCCTCGGCTGTGTGTTCCCACACTTTCCCTTGCTCACAGCAGCAGAGACCATGCAGTTGCTTGGTCAGCTGAATTGCTGATTAGTTTTTCTCCAAACCAGCTCCTGAATGCAGAAGCCCTGGGGCCAGAACGAGGACAAGGGAGAAAGTTCTGGTGAGCAGGGCAGAAGCAGCACAGGCTTACATCAGCTTAAAGGAATTGTGGAATCAAACCTTAAGTGCCATCATAGCAAAATACAGCAGAGTGCTATTAATTCCTTGCTGACAGCTGGGAACAGGCTATCATTCATAGGAAGACTTAACAGGTTTGTGGATTAACATAATGAGAATTATCAAGAGTCAGCTATAATTCTTTAAATGGATCCTGTCAGCATGAAGACTTGCCTGCCTTTGTGTGTTTGGGGAGAAGTGGGGGAGGAGAGCTTAAAATATGCTTCTTGGCTTCTTCCTGGTGAAAAACTGGAGCTGAAAGTACTGTGGAAGTATAATTTACTTTCCCTTGCACAAGCATGACATTTACTCTTTGTATTTCTTGCACCTTGGCTAATGCAACCAGACTGACCAGCTTCTTTCTTCAGTTCTACATTTCAGCCTTCACAGTGGGCAATCTGGACTGGAAATGCAGTGGTAGCTTGGGGAAGTTGCTTAATTATTTTTAGTGGATTGCTCTGAACTTTAAAGAAAAAAGTATTGAAAGTATTAGCAACAGTACTTCATACTTGAACAGTCTTTGTAAACGCAAAGTAGTGTGTATAAAGCATAAGGACTTACTTAATCACTTCTAATCAGCATTGTTCAGAAAGAGATGGGCCTGGCTCTCTTGACTGGCAGAGAAAAAGCAAAGTGGAGCATAGCACTGGCACCCCAGGCCAGAGATCAGTGTCACACAGTAGCACAAGATCTCTACAGCACTGAGAAGATAACATGGACTTAAGCATATCAGCAGCACTGTCCCCAGAATGGGTCAGCGCCCAGGAGGATGGAGACTTCAATGAGAAACAGCCTATGGAGCTGACAGCAAGCAGGGAAAAATTCAGGAATGTCTGTACTAGATCACATCAAAGCTCTGACTGGCCCAGTGTCCTGAACTCCAAGCACTGTGTCTTATTTTATGTCTAGGAGCATTTCCAGGCTTTGAGAGCACCTGGCACTGATGGGCAAAGAAGGGTACCTGGAGCACAGAGCAACTGTGCAGCATTTTGTCAACTACTGGCTGATGAGGAGCTTTGCAAGCTCCTTGTTGCTTTAAAACACTGTTCCTGCAGCAGCAAGGAAATTTATAATTCATGATGAGTCAGGAGCCTTCCTCCCGGCCTGGACTCAGACATAAACAACATTTGTGCATTCACAGCAGTGCTGCCAGCCTGTGTGATTCAGGGCAGAGCAGCGTGTCTCTGCAGAAACACTGAGTGTCCTCCATTCCTCATTCTCACATGCAAGAGCAAAACAAGGCAAGGAATCTTTCTCAAGGGCTCCTCAGGGGACTTAGTAGCCTGGTCAGAGGATATCAGAAAGATTAGACCTTATTTGGAGGCAGTGGCCAAGTGTTTGTTCTGCAGATAAAATGGGAGTTTCCGCTACACAAGAGGAACAAGGAATCATCACGTACTTTTCCTCCAAGATGTGTTGAGTTACCTCTGTTATCATAGACACACAGAAGTCACATCGAATTTATTTTCTAAGCCTGGTATTCTCCTTGAGTAGACAACACAGACCACTCACCACAAAATTAAAGTTAAGGAATGCAATGCATGCCTGGAAAACAGATGCAAGATAGAGGTGAGGCCTCTTTTAGAACAGACCAACACTTATCACTAATAAAAAAAACCAAAACAGGAGAATGAATAAAGAAGAGAATTCAGCACTCAAATCCTGTGGGGGAAGTCATGGGTGTGTTTAAAAATTAAAAATGCAATTGAGGAGAATGCAGTGACTAACTCAGACCTCATTCTAAATATTTGAGAAGTAAAACTGTAAAGCTGTGATACAAAGTGAGGCTAAGAACTAAAGACTGGTTTGTTTGCAATTAAATTCCCCATTTTTAACAATAAAAGATCTCACAGAGGGTATTTAAGCTTTCAGTGAGCAGCTACTTCAAACTACCTGACCAAAACACCCTGAGAATACTGACACCATTCCGTAGTGTCTTCCAACTATCATCTCATTTTAGAGCTGAGCAAGTTAAACAAGAGACTCGCTCAAAATGATAGAAGAAATTAATACAGAGCTGTGATCCAAAGCCAAGAGCTCCCAGCTCCAAGGTGTGCCTGAGCCAGTCAGCAAGGTGCCCCCGGAGCCGTCTGCGTGGCTGCAGGGGGAAGAGGAGGGCACAAAGCAGGACGCGTGCAGCGGGGCATGAGCGCAGCACGGCAGTACGTACTTTCGGCAGGAATGACACTCCCCGAGTCCTGGCTGGCCCCCACAAGCCTCACGCTTAGCAGGCCCAGCACCGAGACGAGCGGGATCACCACGCGCATTGCACTCCAGGCAGACGGCAGCGCCATCGCTCGCGTCAGTAATTCAAGCTCTCTTCCCAGCCTGGAATGAGGAGAAAGAGTGAAAATCAGCAGTTTGCTCCCTGCAAAGAAGGAGATGAAGTGTAATATGCGAAGAACTGCAGGTACACGCAAAGCCACACGCATGCATCACTGTGGTGTGGGCTGCGATGCTCCCAAAGGACCAGTTTGCCCAGTACCTGAGCTTTCTCTTCACCCGTGGAGCGGCTGAAACAAGCAGGCGAGACTCCAGCATTCACTCTGAGCATGCGTCCCCCTGCATCCCCTCTTCCCCGATTAGGGTCATTGCCATGGAGATTTGCTATAGCAACACAGAAAAATTGGAGCTGCCAAGTGGAGGAGAAGATTTAAAGGGACCACAATGCTGTGGATGGTCACTGCTGTTCTCTTCTGCCTCCACCCCTTCCAAGGCCACCTCCTCTCCTCAGTGGACACCAGATGCTGCCGTCCACATCAGAGACTCTTGGGCAATGTTTGGGTTGGCTGCTTTTATTCTTGAAGGGACTGTGCTGAACCATGCAGCTCCCATCCTTTGCTTTAACTGTAAGTCGCTTAAAGTGAGATTTTGTTCCCAGAGATTATAAATAAGAAGGAAACTTAGAAGTTTGCTTGGTAGAAAAAAGATGCAGTGACTGCTGGCGGTGTCTCAAGCTGCCTTATGTAGAAGGTCCAAATGTTGTTCTCAGTCATTGAAGTCTTCATAAGGTGATTCAAGGCATGTGTGTCCACCAAAATGTCTCCACTGGCATTGTAAGAAGACAAGACTGCCAGTCAAAGCTCTGGAATTGGGTGCCTGGGGTGAGACTGTGTGAGATGGCCCAGTTTAACACTGTCGGTCTTTTCACAGGCTTCAGATGCCTGCTAAATGAGCAGCTCCACAAGAACCAGGATGTAATGAAACAACATTGTACAGTTTGACTGTATACTCATCTAGGGCAGGTCACATAGTCTAGCCTTGATCTGCAGTTTTAAATAACACCAAATGGAAATTCTGGCACAAAATCTAAACCTTACACTTCCATTTACCGTGGCATATGTGTTTTTAGCACGTACATTCATTTTGGTCCTGTGGGCCATATCACACTCTTCATACATGAGCTTAAAGAGGAGGACAGAAAGCAATTACCTATATGCGCAATGGTCTTTGTTAATGTGGGAAGCATTGTTTATCCTAATATTTTTTTCAAGGCACCAATCTAGTCTTTTCTACAGTCCCAAAGATTATATAAAATAATTTCCATAGATGCTTGGTCTTTTCAGTAGGTAAGTGGGACAATCAACACAACCCACAGTGAGATAAAGAAACAAATGCGACATCTTGGGGAAGGAAAGCAACCTCAGAATTATTAAACAGAGCTTTTTCCCATCTTAACTGTGGAAAGCATAAAAGGGGATCAGAACAAAGAACTTGAGAAAAATTTGAACAAAGGGAATCTGAATGTCCTGAAACATTGCATTCCCAGGATGCCAAGACTCCAAGGATACCTACACATCGTTTCGCAATATTCTATAATTATGGGCTAAATACCACAGCTTAGTTTTGCTTAGTTGTGTACACTTGCAATAAAGCTTCTTTGTTAGCGGATGAGACTTAGTCTTGTTTTCTGACTGCTCAGCCACCCACTATCCAGGCTTAACACTGTGATAGCACCACAGAAGGAGTGCTTGCTGAATTGGACTACTGCCATCCAAACAACACTGAACTTGCTCCCACTTGTAGCAGTGGGGGAATCTGCAGTAGGGCCCTCTCTATCCACAATCTAATGGGGCAGAAGCTGCTACTTCTGTATTAGAACACACCACTAAGCTTAAAACAACGTCCTTTTTTCAATTGCTTGGTGCCTACTTAAAATAATCAGACCTTGCACTTGCAGAGTCCATCCAGTTTTTGCCTCAAATGCCATGATCCTTAAGAAGCGTGAAAAACATTCCCAACATCTCTTGTTAGCACAGGTGTGTGGTCCAAGATGCATTTCTCAACTCACAGAGCAAAGAGCCAGTGTCTGTGATAACTTCCAGAAATCCGTGTTGTTCTATCACCTCCAGCAAAGTTGAAGAAGAGAGAAGGAAAGTACTTGAACGACTTCCTTTGCTATTACATTCACTAATGCATACCTCTATGACCAAATGATATTACTACAAATTTGAAGAGAAAATTCCAACAGAATCACAGGAGTCAATTTGCTGTCTGAAGAAGTTATAGTGAATCCTAGAGGGCTGCTAGAAATATTTATTCTTCATTTCCTCTTTTTATCTAATCTATAACTAATTATCACATGCTAACAAAAGAAGGGTTTCCTGCAAAATAATCAGAAATATCCAGACATTTATTGGAAAGACAATTAGTGAGGACAGACATCTGGTAGCTCCCTAAAAAGTCATGCATTGACTTCTAAATGTTACTGAAAATTACAACTTTGCAATGAAAGAGGAGAATGTATACACCTAGTTAAAATCACTAACCAGAAAGGCCTGAGTTAAACAGGTTTGCACAAAAGAAGATGCAGGCAAGTGCTTGAATGTTAGAACTCCATTATCATGGTTATGGGTACACAAGGCAAAATTAGGGAAGTGAATCTCAGCCTAATATGTAATGCTAAATCATTGGCTGTTAATACAGTCATGAGTCCTTTGCTGAACTCAGAAGAAAGCACAGAGACAGAAGAATCTGGGTCTGGTTACTATTACTTGAATAATAGAGTGGCAAGAGCACACAGGCATAACACCAGAACAGTCAAGAAAAAAAATGTGATGCAAATAGTGAGAAGCATGAAGGCCTTGTGGGTAGGGAAAAGCCAAACTTAATCAACTTCAGGCAGATTTCTGCTGTGAGGTCACGCATCACTGTGAGAAGAAAAGCAACAAAACTGCTACAGGGCCCACAGAACTGGCTGGGTAGCTGCCCATAGTTATCAGTGGGTCACTGTCAGCAAGGAGGAACATGTCACACGGGGTCTGGAAAGACTCAGACCAAGGGTTATTTGGCATTTTGTTAGTCACCTGGGTATTCAGTAAGCAAAGTGATTACTTAAGATGTAACACCAGCCTAGAAGGTTACAAGAAACACCAAGAGAGAAGACTAGAATTGCAAATCACACAGACAAGTTGAAAAAAAAAGTCCAAAAACAGAATAAAATTTGATAAGGGTGAGGACAAGGTGCTGCACTTCATCAGGAATAATCAGGAGCTCCCATTTAGAATAGGGAACAGCAGGTGAAGTGGCACTTCTATGGAGGAGTTAGGGAATCATGAGCTGAAATCAGTCTGCAACATTCTGTCATTGCCAAAAAAAAGGCAGTTATATCAGGATGTACAAAAAAGAGTGCAAGAGCTTACATCCTTTCCATCACAAGGTTTCAACGCTCGTTCTACATCTGGTTTGGTCACTGCAATACAAGAATGGTAGGAAATAGCAGAAATGACTGAGGTTTAGGAATTGTGCTCTCCCAGAACAGCTGGAAGAACTGAGGTTGTGTGGTCTGAAGGAGAGAAGGGGGCGTGAAATATAAGAATACAGAGGGCTGCTGCAGAGAAACCATAATTCTGGGTGTCTCTGAAGGATTGGACAAGAAGTAAGAGATTAAACTTTATCCAGGAGGCACCACCAACAGCCCTGGAAAACTTCCTTATGGTAAGAACAGCACTGGAATGGATTGCCTGTGAGAACAGGAGGGCATCTAAGACTGTAGGTAGAAATTTTACATCTTTTAGGAATAGCCTGGGGATGATTGGCCCTGCAATAAGACAAGAGGTGTATTATTAAGACCAGGTGATTTCTTGTGGACACAGTTCCTTTCCTGCTTGTTGTGATTCTATATTTGATTATGAGAATCATTTTGCTTCCCAAGTTCTTACCTCTTAGCTGTCTGTGTAACAGCTCCAGCATAAACACAAACACCCCTGGAAGAAAAGCTTTGCCTTTATGCAGCATCTGAAATTCTGCTTCCTCAGTTAGAAGGGCAAAGGCAGTGCTTCTCTGGTCTAAACAAGTAAAGTGTCAAAAGACCATTCCCATTTTTGGATGGGTAACTGATAAAAGAATTTAGAGACATTTGGCTGCAGGGCAGCTGCCAGGGTCCACAGGGTCCTAGCAATCCTTTAAAGTATTATTTTACAGTGTTGCAGATGAGCTGAGGGCTGGTGCACTGTAGATGCTTCAACACATAAACAGAACATACTGCATCATTTTGTTCTGACAGATACCTCAAGCCCTGAGAAGGACTGAAAATCAAAGCACCTTCTGCATGTTGCATTTTATGCCATGAAACAGTGATTCACCTTGGCTTGATGACTCAGTTTGATAGCTTTAAACACTAAGTCAGAGTTCTGGCAGGGAAAAAAAAAGTCTCCCTCATGTTAAATGATTATTTTGCTCTGGTCAGCATGGCTTGACAAGTTCAAGCCCTTCAAAATTCCAACCACAAGCTGAACCCTGGTCAGACTGTGAGGTTTTGAGACACTGCAGCTGTTCCAACAAAGCCCACATGATGCTGCAAAACAAGGATGTGGCCGCAAACAGGGAGCAATGATAGAAAGTCAGCCCAAGATACCCTTCAATGCAGGAAATAATCAACTCAAAAGGGCCTCTTGTACTATGGTGTAAGACCTGGAGAAAGATCCAAGCTCGATCAGTTAGCCAAAAATCCACTGAAGCCAAGGGTGACAAGCATCTTGTGGCAATGCCTAAAGCCCAGAATGCTATGCATGGGGGCAGCAGTCAAGTTACTGTGAAATGAAGGTCAGTTCATGATTTTGCTTCCAAGAAGTAAGAACCACAGGCAAAATGTCTGAGTTCTCCTAGTTTACATTGGAAGGTTTGCATCGGACTGCTGCAAATCCAGCAACTGTTCACTGTGCCGCACAGGGTGTAAGCTTACGGCATAGGCAAGAGTTATGTGTTACATGTGCACCCACAGCCTGAGCACCATGGATGGTAAAATCAATTTATTTGTGCTGCTGCCACTACTGTTATCCCTGTCTGGGAAGATAAGTTTTTATCTTTATTTTTACTTGCTTGAGAACTGTGTGTGAAAATCCCTTCTGAATTCACGTGTTCAGAGAGCAGCTGATGCTCAGGGAGTACCTGCTGGCATTTTTTTAAGCGATGAGGGTTTGGGCAGATCATTCTGTGGCTACTAAAAGCAGTGTGGCAGAAGGCACAGGCAGTTCTCCTCTCAGCCCCCTGCATGTGCAGACAGAAAAGGAAGGTGAGAAGGTCTCATTTTGTTAGAAAAGTTTCTGATGTTTAGGACATGGCTCAACCCTCTGTGGGTAAAATACAATTTGATTTTACTTCGTACATAAACCATACCTCAAATGTGCAATATATTGGCTGTCAAATGGCATTTAAATATTGCTCAGCTCCCTCTTCAACACAAGACTGAACTGTACATTAGTTATATTCAATGTTGATGGCTGATGCCGAGTACTTTTCACAAACTGGATGCTTTATGTAGCTGTAGTCCGGGAAGAATTCAAGAGGCGTGTGTATCAAACTTACCACATGGATGATTTGATTTGGTGATTTGTCTCTAGATGGGGAAGAGAAATAACCCACGCTGCCCAAAGATCTGAAAGTCAATTTATAGCACTAAAGATTACTTCCAATGAACTATAAGCATTCACAAATGCTAACTTTGATTCCAGTCCCAAAGTTCGTGCCTGCCTCTGGCCCCTGCATTAACCTGACAAGTTTCAGAGTAATACCATTAATTAGATCTCTCTCAGATGGTCATCTTTTTAGGTTGGGAGTGACAGCTCAACAGATACAACCTTATTAAACCTCGTATAACTGGAAACTTTAAAGTCAGTTGGGATTTATGTGCAGGAAAGTGTCAAGTTTCAACAGCTTCTGTGAAGAAGCCACAGGAAAAAAAAAAAGACAAATTTTATCCATACTGTTTGATAAATGACAGCTGTTTAACTCAAGAGTTAGTCCAGGTTTGACATGCAAACGTACTTTGTGATACCACATCCTTCCATTAATTTGGCCTAGACACAATTTTGTTATACAAACAAGCTCCTATGCTTTCTGCTTGTTTCTCAGAAGAGCCACGTAGAGTATCTAATAACCACAGCAAATTAGCATGCATGAAAGTTTCTTTGCACTTAAAGCAAAAACAAAAGCTGTGATTTGTCTCTTCTTTCTGTTACAATCAGCACAAGACCTGAACTGTTTTAATGAAACAACTGACACTTTACAGAACAAAAGTGCAGCTCTGAAACTCTTTTTTTTTTTTTTAATTTAATGTTTTAAGCCACTTCCTAATATTTGGGAACTTGAAGCCCTTGAAAACATTGTTTTCCCAACTCCCCATAACACTACAAAGTTATAGTTGGAATGGAGATTGGAGTAAGGTTACAGAATATTTACATGGAGATTAAACTGCAAACCTATGCTTAAAGATAAATACTGTGTTTGAAACTAGAGCACCAGTTCAGCATACTTTACATTATGAACTGTATAAGTTAGCAACACCTGAAGGAATGATGGCCACCATCCTGTGCTGTAAATAATGTTTGTTCCAAACAGCTTTCAGTGCAGTCCCAAAACAACCACATAATGCAGTATAGGCGAAGAGACAGGGCCAGGTGAACAGTGAGAAGCGCATGCATGCTCTGATGGCCTCGTCAGATGCAGATAAAATAACAGTTTGGATGTAATGGGGAACTTCGGATTTTGAGTTAAAAAAATTATTGTAGGATGCACAGTGGTGATATTAAGTATGACAAGAAAGAAGGGCAGCCTGTTTGTACTAATTCTTTCATCCCTCAAACTTCCATTTCTCAAAGCAAGGCCATAGGGCAGAGAAAGAAAGCAAGACAGGACCAGGTTTATGTGGTATGAAGGAGACTTTGCTGTCTGACTAACCACATAGGTCCTTCTTGGCAGTAAGCAAATAGTTTGCAGTACCATTTCCATCCTTACAAAAAGGAAATGCTACTCCTGCTTTGGAGAAGTCTCTGCAATGCACGGGGCTGCAGAAGCACAGCCACTGACCTACTTAAGGGAGGAGGTTTGTGTTATGAATTTAGAAAGCAGAGTTCATTTCTACACATAAGGACAACTGCATCAGATCACACCACAGATCATTCTATGGCTAGTATCTTAGCCTTGGCAGTATCTATTTTTGGGAAAAGTATAAAACAATGTCTTCCTAAAATGCTATTAAATGGCAACAACTCGTGTTTCAGGGAGCTTGAGTGCCTTTTTTTTTCTTTAAACTTAAAATCCAAAAGTTGGTATTTTTATATTTAACAGTCTGCAATAGAGTTTTCAGGCTTGAGTCTGAACATCTGCTTCTTCAGCTCGTACAAATATTTAAAATCAGTAACATCCTGTAGCAAAGACTTCCACAACTTAAACATGCAGGAGGTTACCAGCGTCATTCTTCTATTTGCTCTGACTCTGCCAACAGCTGGTTTCAATTCACTGCACTCCTCTTCTTGTTTTGGAAGGGGCAGCAAGCAGTCATTCTCAGGACACTCATGATTTTGTAAACTGCTGTCATGTCCTCCTTCAACCATCTCTTGTCCACACTGAAGATTTCTGATTCGTTCTTTGCACATTACTGTCTATAACCCTAGTCACCTTTGTCAGCAGTTTGCATGGTTCTGCTGTATTCTTTTACTCTGTGAAAATAGTCTTGACTCTTGCCGTTGTGTCATATTAAACCTGAGAACATATACTCAAATTATTCAAAAGTTTCTGTTCACTTGACAAAAACAGACATTCTGGTTGCTGAGTGTAATTCCCAGACCTCCTTGCCAATCTATTTTATAAGTGTGTGCCATGTAAGTTATTTTCTTTTCTCCTGCTATTATGATGGTTTTGAACAAGTAGCAACAGAGGGCAGTTGTTCAAAACTAAATTAAAATAGATAATGTGAGTTGTAAAGAAGCATACAGCTATTACCATGAGGAAATTCCTTGTTCTGATGCATCTTTTGCAGGCTGAAAGGAATCTCTAACTTTTCATACTCTGAGCAAAAGAATGAGAAAGTTATTCCTTTTCCCCCACCTACAAAAAGGGAGTGAGATATCAGTGTTGCTCAGTACCACATTCACTCATTCCACAGCAGGTGGGAATGCCACGCATTGCTCCTGCAGGGCTGTTGGCTGGATCTAAAGGGACGGCAAACCTGAGGAAGACCAGCCCCACCACCCATACCTGCACCAACTTACACACAGTCACAGGGATAGGATGCCAGGGGCTCACCAAGAAACTCCTGGGCTTAGAGAGTAAGTAATGCCAGACTTGAAGGGGGAGCAAAGGTTTCACTGGAAGGAAGAGCCAAGGCACGTCCAGAGCAAGCAGAGGAACAAAGCCAAGCTAGAATAAGATGAGGAAGACCCGACTGAAGCAAAAAACAAGGAACTCTGAAAAGCTATTCTACTCTAACCAGAGTCAGCTGAAGCCCTCCAAAGGCAGCCTTACTCCTGGCAGAGCAGTATTTGTATCTCCCCTCTTATCTACTTGCAGTTTAGTTAGAGATGTAAGGCCACAGGCAGGAGGGTAAGAAATTAAATACTTTAATTAAAGACAATGACACTCTTACACAGGATGTCAGAAATTCAGCACTAACATACAAGCTGTTCTGCTCTAAGCACAACACACATATACCTCCTCGTAATGCATGCCTCTTCACAGCCAACAGGATGCCTGAAGGTGGTCACAGTGTAAACAATAAACAGAAAGGACTTCCATCACCTTTAATATACCAGCAAAGCCCACAGAGACCACCACTACTTGTCTCAGTATAACTGGGTAAGTTGTCACAGAGATATGCTCTAACATGTTAGAGACCAAACCAGCTGCAAGGGTCTCAAGAGCATTGTTGGCTCTATTTATCCTGTGGGTTACACTTGGCCAACTCTGATTTAAAAATCAAAGTAAAATGTTTCCCCACTCTAACAGAAAGTAGCAGATTTACTGAACTGAGCCCTTAGTGGCAATGCAGTGATGTGAAAAGAGAGGACTATTTAAAAACCATCAAACAGAACAGACACATAAGACACAACCCCCCTCCCCAGTTTCCTCAGTAAGCGGGACAAATGTTCTTGCAACATGAACTCCTAAAGGCTGTTTCATACAGCTGCATTTTAAAAACCACGGAACAGGTGATGATACAGCCAGCCTCCTGGATTCAGTTCAGCAGATTTGCAGTTACACAGTCACACAGATTTCTCTTTTCCACTTGAAGAAGCAGTGTTTCTGTCTGTAAGAAGAAGGGACAAAAGCAACACCAAAAATGAAATGTCAGCTCTGTAAAACCAATTAGCTCCCAAAGAAAAGTCAATTTTACTTCTGCTCTGAAATTTGAAATCAGTGGTATGAGATGAGTCTTAGCACAACAATCAGAGATATTGCTTTCTGTCTGCAAAGTGAATTAACTTCTGCATGATTAACTGGCAAACAAACATGGCAGCACTTCTCATGATATGAAGAAATTCAGCCTGGCATCTGTTCATTTTTTTCACATTAGCACATTTAATATGGGTATGTGTGCTGCTATTTTGTTTTTAATTTGTCTTCCTTACAGTCTTACTTCAATTGTGCACACTGGAGCATAAGCTATGAAGTTAATGAGAGGCTTAAGGAAAAACTCAAAAACCTACCAGGATTTCTCTTTCATTTAAAAATAGGCTCAAAAAATTAGAGTACTGCAGTCTGGTCTAACTACTGAAAGTTCACAGGGAAAGCAAGGTATAATTTACCCATTTTAACTTTTGATTTGCTACTGTTATAGTTAACATGCTGTTAGCCTAAAAAAGACAATAGGTGCTGAGTTGGCATATGGAAATATAGTTAAAACATGTGGTGGGATTGCAGGCTTCTTTAAAAAAGGGAGTCCCAGGCTTGAAAGAAGTCCCTTCACCTGAATCAGGATTGCTGCCTGCAGAATTTTCTGGAGCAACAGGGCGGACTGGGAACTTCCCTGAGGAGGATATGATCTGAAATGCCCCCACCTGTGCAAGAAAGAGCTGAGAACTGGGGAAGGGACAGCACAGCTGCATGAAGATTTGTGACTCCTTCCTCTCTAACACACAAGTTTTGCTCTTCCTGTCTGTGTTGAGGAACCCGTGGTATCAATGGATGCAGGAAGGAGCACAGTGCTGCCAGACAGCAAGATCATATCCTTATCCATTACACGCAGTCATCTCAGACTATCACAATCCGATAGAACCAGACTGTGGGATCAGTGTGATCCAAGATAGAACTTCCTCCTTACTGCTGTGGGACAAACGAGCTGTGCCAACTCCACTTACCAAATTACTAGTTACTGCCTTAAGCAGTTACACAGAAAGGGGCACTATCTATCAGATCTGAATGCCAATGAAATCTACCCCCCACCGGCCTTTCTTGTGATTTTTCAGACGGAAGGCCACGTGATTAAAGGCTTTTCTTTTCTTTTTTTTTTTTTTTTTTTTAAGTTCTGGCATCCATTGACCTGCAGCAGCTAAAGGCAACCAGAAGAGCTGGGCTAAAACATCCTGCTTAAACCCTGCCTTCTCAGTACAGGAAGAGGCATCTGTTGGGCAGGTCTTTTTCTCAGCTGACAAATCATTCAGCACAGCCCCGTGGTATTAAATCAGGTATCACTTTTGATCATTGCAGCTACCCTGCAAGACTTTGCTAATTACCTGAAAGGTACTCAATCACCACCCTCTAACCACCTCCTCCACATCTTCTGCAATGGCTTGAATACAGGAAGCTGGCAGCTTTGGAGTTAAGCCTCAAGGCTGCTTACCATCTTACATATCTTTAATAACATTTCCAAGCTTTGCTTTTACTTTCATGAGTACATCTTACTTAATGGGCTTTGAATGTCCCAAATAACCACTGACTGTTTAGAAAGAAATAAAGAACAGAATGAATGGCACTGAGTACATCTTTACTGACTATTTTGTGAGCGTGATTATAAAGCCATTTGCACAGAGATTTGTTATTATCCCCTTGGTGGGTCAAAGCACAACAAAGAAATAAAAAAACAAACAAACAGGGCAGGGCTCAGATTCTCAGCCTACAGAAAAGCTGCAATAATCCAGCTAAAAACAAAAACCAAAAAACAGATGCAGAGCTTTTTAAAGTTGTAATGCAATAGCCACTGGTCAGCTCTGAAAAACTGACTGGAATTTTTCAGGTGTTCATAGTGCAGATACACAGTGGATAGTGTAGCCCATGGACTGGATTTGTTTTATGGGAGATATTTTATTGCCTGTTCCCTGCTGGTCTCTGTCTTGAGCAACTTGCAGATGCAGTAGGGGGCTATCTGCATGCTGGTGCAATCGTGTTGATGGTAGCAGAGCACAGGAGCCCTCTCCTAGTTCGTGATCAGAGCTGCACCTGCCAGATTCAATTATTAAGTGGAAAATCATGGTATTCACAGAAAAGATTCCTCAGAATTGTTTATTGCAGTTGTAACAATCCAGCTTGCAGACTGCTCCAAGGGGTCACCACCAACAAAAAGGGTGGATAATAGAATGCGGAAGGGCAGAAACAAATCTGTACCTGCACAGGTAGCTGCCAGCCCCTCAGAGGTGGACTGAGACCCTTCTCACTGCATGAGGAAAATGTGTGCAGTCTATCAATCAGTAAGTGATCATCACTTCACTGTAGGTTACAAGCATTGCTTGTCTTGTAAAAAGAACAGGATATAGCTTCTGACCCCCATAAAAAGTTATGTGACCTACGCTGGAGTCATTCTGCTTTGTTAGACACCACGCAGATCAACACGGGGTCAAATTAAGTGTGAAAACTCTGAGCTGTCCAATAAAACGACAGAGTTTCCACTGTGCAGAACTGCAGAGTGAGATTTGCAGGAGGAAATTAATGGGAATTTCCTCTCTAAGCTTTTGGGAATCCCTCCCCCTCCAACACAGTTAAAAGCTGTTTAGTCATCAACTAAAATTCCTGCCTGCCAAGAAAAAAGAATTTTTCAAGGAAATGAGTGTCCCCAGTGGGAATATTAACAAAGGGCTTTGTATTTTTGGGACAGAAAAATTTGCCCCACTCAGCAGCAAAACAGATCAAACCAGTCAAATGTAAAAAATATATAGCTGAAAGTAATTGTATTAAAACACTCAATTTGCATCAAATTGGGCTACAGCAGAACAAACACAAGAATTGAAACACTGTAGGCAGCATTTCTATGATCCAAGTAGTCCTCAAACAGTTCATATTTCCATGTCTTTTGAAGATGTGGGCAGAATTTCTTAGTAACTGGAATAGGCCTGTTCTATCCAGGACTGACGGATTTCAATATGGATTCAATTGTTTGGATTTGAAAGCAGAAAGAAAGTGATAGATTTGTGGCAAGAATGTATCATGGAGCCACTTTTTCAGGCTTGCTGTCTAATCTACAGCTGCCAAACTCAGCTTTAGGATATTCCTTTCCAACTGAACCTTTTTTTATAGCCTGGTTTCCTTTCCTTGGCTGTCTTTTATTTTTATTTTGAAATAGTAAAATACAGTTACTGTTTTGGGGCTCAGCTGCTCAGTCCTCATTATTAGCTTTCAGTTTTGGATATCTATATTTTACAAAGCTTCACTCTCGACATGCAACCTGTAAGACTCATGAAGGTCACTTCCATAGCCAGACAAACCAGAGATTTTTGTACTCTAGATATTTTTAAATCAAGATTTAGAAATTCTAGTAAAAAGTTTGAAAGTTTTCAACAGAAGGAGAAGTTGTGATAGAACCACTTCAGCACAGTTTGAACCTCTTGTTTAGGCTGTATAAAGCAGATGTATTCACTAACAAGATTGCTTCTTGAAAGAGCCCAAAATATATTTGACCTGTGACTATTGAACAGATTTTGTTTAACTGCAAATCCATTACATACTGATTTGGTTTTGCTTGAATGTTTGTTTTTTGTAGTATGTCACAATTCTAACCATCTTTATTGCTCCAGCAGCATTTTCATCATGTGCTCTGCTTGGAGTTACTTCAAAGCATTCTTCAGAAACGTCAGTTTGCAGGCTTTGAACTGTGAGTGCCCTTGACTGTAGATGAGGATCACAAAGAAGTTTAAATGCCTTCTGCTGAAAAACCCGTGCAAGATGCAGCACTTCACCTAAAGGGATCATGGGAGGTAGGGGAAAAGATACCCTGCCAAGACACTGCTATCTGACAGCAGCTGGGATGCAGCTAGTCACTGCAGGCTGCAGTAGCAAGACTCAACTCCTCTCACAGAAGGGGGATACTTGGCAAATTCCCCACCCTGACTACAAGCCAAATAAGTTCTGTTTATGATACTATTCTAATTTGTGGCATGCTTCATCTTCATAGAATCAGAGTGATGTAAAAAGAAAATAAATCTATGAGATGATGTTTCCTCCCTTAGCCTCTCTCCAAGGACAGAAAGATGTGCAATGGCATATTTTATTTTATTGTGGGGTGTTTTTTTTTTGAGCTGTCCTTCTCTTTTTGGGCAGTAAGTATGATGTTCTGACCTTACTTCCCCTCATATAAAAATTCACGTGTGCACTCAGCATTTGGAATGAGAATAGCAGTGCTAATGGTTCTATCTTGGATAGAGAAGGATAGAGAGCTTAGGTCTGCCAGTTTACTCTTTACTTCCTAGTTTCTCTGATAACCCACCTGAGAATTCCACAGGTTACTGCCTGGAGGAATGAAATCTAATTACCCAGCATCACCTTAAAAGACAGGGCATTACAGTCAGCTGACAGTGTCCAGTGCAAAACGCACCCACTTTATCTACTTCTATCCACAGCATTGTCTTCCGTAAGAAAAGATAAAACCAAAACAAGAAACAATTAAAACAAAACAAAACAAAACAACCACAAAGAAGTTGAATGTTTCCTTACCCGTGTGTCTAGATTATACGCTGTTTTCTTTAAATCCTGCAGAGCCCTCTGCATGAACTCGAATGCATGGCAGTCAACACAGGGACGGCCTAGGAGAGCATTTGGGAGAGAGCACGAAGTACTAAATAGGAATAAACAGTGAATCTGAGCATGATGAACTACAGAACAAGGTCCACAGTGAATACTGACATATGTATTCTTAAATAATCCAGGTTTTTCTAAGAGGTCCATCATGGTGGTCCACCCAATGTCTCAGTGGCAAAAGAATTACTTTGACAAATTAGCATTAAAAAATAAATCACATTTCTTTCTCCACTGCTTCCTCCATCACTGTTCTTTACATACACATTTTTCCTTTCCCACTATCTCTCTTCTTTTGTCACAGTTTGTAGAGGTGTGGAAATACCAAATCTGTAACCTGAGTCTTGCATTGGTTGCACAGTCCCTGACCACATGTTCAACCTCATCTTCTCCAGAAATTTTCTCTAAAAACCATGACCCTGCTTCCCAGGAAAATTCTGTCTCCTCACAATCTTGAACTTAAAACACAAAGCTAATGGAATACAATTGAGATCATCATCACTAAGATCACTTCGACTCCAACTCTGAATACAATACAGCTTTGTAGAAAGCTAGTGGAGCAAGCAGCAGATAAACACAATGCCCTATCATTAGAGGATATTGCTGATAAGCAGAGCAGATGCTTCCGCTAAAGGTAATTCTTGAATAATTGTAGAGTTTAAGATATCTAGATAATCCACACTTAAGGTCACAAGGCTTGCTTTGCCTTGATCATCGTAACACAAAGCTGCACAACAACAGCAGCAGCACAGAACCTGAACAAATAGAAACATGATATCTCACAATTATGAGGCTCTGCATACTCTCTCACAGTTGCTTCTCTGACAACTTTCCAGGAGATATTGGGCAAGTGAGGAATTCTGAGCACAGGCACAGTTTCCTTTTGCAGTCTGGTAAAGAAGAAAGGATAAAACCTAGACTGAGGTTGAAATATGGCAGTGTCTGTCAGCCTACTTTGAAATGCACAATACAATATTTGACTGATTACGACATGCCTGTGAAAAACTGTAGTTTGAGCCTCCACCTCATGACCTGTGTGCTAACCAGCAGAGGGGGATCCTGCCTGCATGGAGAAAAGGAATCAGCCTAATTCTTAACTGGCTGGTTAAAAATAAATAAAATGAAGAGAGATATAAAATAAACATCATGGATTAAAGACATGGATTAAAGAAAGTTGAATCATGACTCAACCTTAGTGTTACCATATATACACTAAATAAAAGGGCAGATGCACGGACCTGCTCTAATGTTTATGACATAAATTAAACTCAATATAGGTTAGCAAAGGAGGCTTAGGTGGTTGAAAGTTGCAAGGCTAACAGTTGACAAGCTGTGCTTTCATGACATCTTCACTGAGAAATTTTAAAATAAGAACTTCTAACTTTACCAGGAATGAAACAAAAGATTACAGTCGACACCAGATGAAATAAGTAAGTCCCAAGAATGTCTCTGGAAAGTAAATACAGTGATTCATGGCATAGAAAAGACTAACACAAAGAAAGGGCTGCACAAAATAAAAAGTGCAGAACATTGTTGGATTTCAGCTGCAAGCAGGACAGCAATAGGCAGTACAAGGGTAAGAGACTAGAGAGCCCTGGATGAAGAGGAAAAACAGCACAGTTTTAAAACAATATAAACAAGACACTTCCAAAACAGTCTGAATTATCTGGACAAGCCTCAATAATGTGGTGCCTTGCAACATCAAAACTACAGTATAAGTTGTAAGAGAAAGCTGTATCGTACGTACTTTCAGCTGGTATGGCTGTTCCTGCTTCTTGATCAGATCTAGCAGGCTCCATGAGAAGCAGTGCAGCCACAAAAACTAAAGGAACTGTAAGGACCAGTCTTCTCAGAAGGCAGGGTAACAGCATCATGGGAACAGGTGCTTCTCTTTTTATCAAGAGACAGAAACAAGTCAGGGAGGAACATTACAAATACAAGGCTAGTTACAAAGAACTTTCTGTTCCTAATGGCTAAAGCACTGCAGTTCTCCCTTGAAAGAAAAGAAACAAACAAAATTATACAAAAAAGTAATCAGAAGATACATAGCACAGACAAAAATTCTCTGCACTTTTCCAGAATAGCATATAGAACCCATCTGGGAATTCCCTAGTTGTGAAGAGGACCAAAAGTCCCTGTTTTTGGTTTCATGTGAAGGCCAGGATGCCAGCAACTTTGCCCGTGCTATGACTTCAGCCTTTTTCCTAACTACACAGTCAGAGAAAAGAGCATGAATCTGGACTGCTGGCTTGCTGTTAGACACTGAGATCAGACTCAGAAGGATTTTTTTTGGAGCTGCCTGAAATTGACCTGAACCTCAAAATGAATTTTTTGCCCCCTGGTTGGCTTTACTGGTATACCATCTTTTTACAGGTACAATAACTGCAGTTAATCTCTGTCTTTAACTCCCCACCACAATGATCATAAAACCTTACTCCAGTATGAAAGCAACTAAAGGAAAATATTTCTGTTAAACCTCTGCAAATTCGTGAGTAGGGTGGTAATGCATCAAAACTCTTTAAACTTCTGTTTCCCTCTCTAATCCAAGCTTCAGATAATTTGCAGTCATCTATTTGTTCCCAAACATCACAGCCAGGCCACACCATGTCCTGAAGACAGGTATAATCTGGTCCTGCAGCACCCTCCCTTGAATACAAATGCTAAATGTTTGATAAGTACAAACATTTAGGCATCAACAAAGTATTTTCTTGATCCAACAAGTAAACTGTTCAGATCAAGAGGAAACACAGGAACCTTGGACTGGCTCAAGCTGCAACTGCCTGTTCCATCACAAGCCCCAAGTACCCAAACTAATAAGGTGATCCTTAGTTCATCCAAGTTTACCTTCTGGTCCTGTATGTTCAAGGAAAAGAAAGAATCAAATAAGATTGTAACAACACAATAAAATCCACATGAAGAATTTCTTTAGCTAAGTCCAGGAAAGCAGGACAACAGGCCATGTCTTCCTGAGTTTTAGCAGGTACCTACTAAACAAAAGATGCTGCATATGAACATCAAGTGCATGTGTGCTGAATGTAAGAGAACAGAATTCCCCTGAATAGCCTGTATTTCACATTTGGAAGTGCAATAGAGGGAGACAGAAAGGGAAAGGTTTCTCCTCCATCTTGCCAAAAATACAGAGTTGAACAAGTCTACTCTTTGATATGTGCCAAGTCACTGTTTCAAACACAGCTAATCTGAAGCTGCAAATTCTGTACGAACACTTGCAGCCTGTGCAAACCAGCAACTAATTCAGGAAAGGTGCAGCATTACATACGTTCCCTTCCTGTGCACCTCAATCTAAACATAGGATCAGAGGATGGCTCAGAAGAAAGACACATACAAGCACATACAGTGCAATAAATGTATTTGTGCTCATATCAAGCGATACGTCTGATTATTTCTGTAACCACAGAACATGGTTTCCTATTCCTCCCATTATTTAGAAGCGATCTAATGTGATCCTTTTTCTTATTTCCACAATCCTTAAAATAAAGGGATTAAAATCCTAACGAGTGGCTCAGTTATTCTGTTTTAATTAATGATGACCTGAGATCAGAGCAAGTATAACCAAAGACACCAAGCTTTGCAACAGCGTAGCAGTGTTTCCAAGTATCAGTACATTAGGACAGTATCAATCTCCTTCAAAAGCATCTAGTGCAGAAGCTTGCTGGTCAGAGAAGGCTGTTCTCATAGTCGATTATCACCACTATAGAGGTTCAAAAAAACAAGGCAGATGGCTCAACTTTTTTCAGAGTACCTCACACACTGCCCACCCCAGCCTCACCTCAGCTTCCCGTGTGAGCTGTGTTGCCAAATAATTGCTCCTGAGCACAGCAGTTACCTCAGGCCACATCTAACAACTGCCTCTCAGTAATTCTATGGGAATTTGCTGTCTGTGAGGAATAATCATGACAGGCTTCCAGGGTGGTCTCTCTCTGCAGCGTAACCAAGAACAGAGACATGTGCATGGTCCTCTTTGTAAGAGAAAAGTCACCCCCTCCAACAAAGGAAAAAAATAGCAGTACCTGATCTCTCTCTTGTCTTTGTGGTGGTCTCTTTGAAATGGCCGCTGCTAACTGCTAACAGAACAAGTGCAGCTTTCTGAGCATGTGCACTGTCTCTTTTTAACCTTCCCTGAAAGAGGTTATTACTATGGGGAGATTTCTGCCATGGCAACAATGCAGAGCACTGCAGCACAGAGCACAGATTTAAAGAGGAACAGGCTGTGTCTCCCAGGTCTGGGAAAGAATGTTTTTGCTTTGACATGGGAGTCCCAGCAGCGACTTCCCTGCTGTGGGTACGGTTTTTAAAGCTGGGCCATGTGAATCAGCTTATTTCAGACCACTGAATGGTCTTCCCCAAGTCTGCTCAGCTGGATGCAGTGCCTCATTCAAGCAACGTGCTCCCTCATGCCTGAAAATAATCATGAGATATTACACCTGCTTTACGGGAAACTAGGAAAAGTTATTTGAGCTATTTGATTGTACACAAGAACTGCAGTGCATGTCACAGCTGAGATGACAGTATGCCATGTGAAGTGTTCTGAGTTACAGGTTTGTAAGCACTCATGCACGCCTTCCTGGATGTTTCTGCAATCCTAGCCTCAGAGCCATCAGAAACAGATGCAAGTCAGAAGGCATTAAACTCTGAAAGAGTCCAAATTCAGAGTAAACTTCACCTCCCTTTTCCAGCCTGCATCTCTGTTCCTCCCTCAATATCTCATGAGCTATATTCCACAACAGCACACTGAAGTTGCTTTTGCTGAATTGAGCGCAGGCATGGAACATAGATGATGGAGTACTTTCATTAAAGCAAAACTAATTTCAGGCATTCCCCCATCAGAAATTAGACAGTACCAGTTGTTCAAGTGAATGAGCACAGCTGATGGCAGCTGCACTGGGCATGTACAGATCTTCCAAGGGATCATGCTCTGTGTCTTAAAGGCTCTTATGGCAAAATCTGGGGGGCACACCGTGCTCAGGAAGGTTGGGAACAATCTGTTGTTTTCCATGGGCAGAAAGTCCATTTTCAGAGTTAAGAATAAATTGCTGGCTAACATTTTTCTTTCCAACATGCTCTAAATCCTGTCTCTCTTGTATAGCCCTAGGGAAATGTTTTTGCTCCCATTAATTCAACTTTTCAAGTCAGATGCTGAGATTTCTGGTTGTTCAGGGTGCAGCTATGATGTGATATGAGGATCCTGCATCCATGAGCAGTCCTCAATCCTCAAGGGAGGATTAATATCCGTACTTCCATTCTTATACATCAAAAATCCAGAAAGAAGAGGAATATAATTTTTAGAGACTGCTCTTTTGAGCAAAGAAGATTTAGCACTATTCTGGCAGATACAACCATATAGGATTTGGTCTAATCAGGATCTGTTATACACAAATCACAAATGCCAAACTTTATTCATGGCCATTGTCAGCCATCTAATCTGACTTCCTGTCTTCTTGATAAATAACGTACATATATGCATATCTACATATAAATATGCCTTTTCTTAACCTGTGCTCTTCATCATTCCCAGTAAATGATCTCCCAACTCCTGTCCCATCTCTGTCACAATGGTATCAACCAGCAGGCAGCCTCTGGCAGTCTGAGTGTTACCCCTGATTCATTCCCCCAGGCGATGGGCTTCTGACTCCTCACTAAATGTAAAAAATCTGCATCTTTCATTCCTAACTGCCAAGTTCTTTGCTCTAATCATCTCATACCAGCTGCTGAGACTCGCTTCTTTAGCCATCCTGAGCCACAAGGACAGACCTCCTTTTTAGAGTTTTCATCACATTTCTCTTTCCCTCTCCCAGTACCATGCTGAGCACCAGCTTTTCTCTCCACTGAAGCTCATTACTTTCTCCAGTGAAAAATATCAGTTTACTGAAGTGGAAGTTTTCCACAGAGAAGAAAGAAACCCCGTTATAGGATACTTCTACTTGAAAAATTTGTTTGGAAAAAAAATATCATTTTGACATTTCAAATTGATCGTTTCTGGCTTTGTGCTTCAAAATTATTTCTTTCTCAAACCTACGCTAAATAGAGTAAAAATATATTTCATGCTCAGTTCATTAAATATATAGAGTGGGAGCAGCTCTTATCTTAAGATTAGTGCCCATCCCCACCAAATGGTATAACTGTGACAAAATCCCTCTGACTTGTTCTTCTCTCACGTAAGAAGTGTAGGTGGAGCAGATGCTAGCCCCAGGGCACCCAGATTTCATCCCCAAGGTCTGCGGCTGCTCACCAATGCACAGCACACTTGGGGATATTGCTGGCAGTGCCTGAAGCAGCAGCTTGTGCTGGGCACTGAAAGTGGCAACTGGAAGCTCCTGCCTGCCCTGTGGGATCGTTCACCAGGTGAGCAGTGAGAATGCACAGCTTCATTTTGTGATGAAATCAAACACAATGGATTTCTTCTTGAGAGCCCTAGCAGCTAAAAAACATGGAAGCACTGTTTCTGAGGTTTCCATTTTTCATCTTGATGGTGCATGTTTTGATACTATAAATATTTCGGTGGGATTGATAGAAAAGCTCAAGCCTTTCCTCTAAGCTACCGCTTGGTCTCTCCTTGGCTCTTAAATCTAATTCTCTGTCACAGCAGAAAACTCTCTTCTCTCACTGAAGATAACACATTCTATCACTTCTCCTGCAGACACCTCTATGCTTTCTCACAGCCTGCCCTGTAAATCATGGTAAAAATCTCCCCACAGATGTGCCATCTCCACTTGCATCAAAGCCCCTTTAAAGCCTTCCCTCTGCCACAAATCCTACAAAGCTTGGCAGAGCCTGGGGAGAAAGCTGGCTGTGAGCGCTGCCAGTACGCAAATGTGCTGCTTCTAGCAATTTCTGCCTCACAGCTTCCCCAGCTTCCCTCTGGCCATCCACCC